TATAACGATGTAAGTTTTGATATATATTTACTTTTTAAATATATCCTAATAAATTGTTTTTTTTAAAAAAAGACTTTGCGAAATAGCTTGCAAAAGGCTCACAGCCAATATCCAATTCCCTATTGTTTTGTCTGCTATGGGGCAGAGCTGTCAAAGACCGAATTGTTCTAAATAATTGGGCTGGGCGTGAGCTCACAGATGAAATCTTGGCTGCATAGAACTCCCTCTTAGCAGCCTTGAGTGCCATCTCATAGGACCTCATAAATGTCCTATAAGATGTTCTTGATGCTTCACCGCGGGCACGCCGCCACCGTCTCTCTAGCCATCTTAGCTCTCGTTTCATAAGCTCCAACCCCTGGGTATACCAAGGGGCAAGCCTAGAGCGAGAGCGCAGAGGGCACCTGGGAGCAATCTCATCGATGGCTGTGGAGAGTCAGTCATACCAGTCATCCACAAGCTCATCCAATGAGCCGCCAGGGGGCATCAGATCCCGCGGAGCCATCTGAAGCCGAACAGGCTCCATTTGGTTCTGCAGGCAAGCTAAAATCTGCTTGCCGCTTAAATAGGGTTGGGGTGGGACATTCAGACGAGCCTACTTATTTAATTATAATTATTCTTTATATTTTATTGTATAAATATGAAACCATAGTATCCTTTAACTTTTGTTTGAAGTGAGAACAATAGTCTTATTCAGAAGATGAACTCAGATTCTTAATAACATTGCTCGGATTTGAAACAATCTAACACTAGTAATTCTGAGAACTCTGGTCCCTTGTTTTCAAAGATGAGAAATTAGTATTTTATTGCTGAAATTTGTATATAATTGTACCTCTAATAACTATTCTGAGTTTGCATTATTTTTGGGCCTAAACTGCATTTTGGAACTTTTAAAATTTACAAATTATTTCAGCGTATTGAGACCCAATTTGTCAATTGTTTTATAAATTATTTCTCTACAAGATTTAAATTGAAGAAATAATTTGAGATGGACCCAATTGCAGATGCCAGTTTGTTGGGTAAACCCCTGTTTTTTAATTTTTGGCTGATTTCGCATAAAGAGCTGTGCCGCCGTCACACCTCCCTTTACCCCGTTTCCATCGGTCAATTTCCCACTTGAAGCCGCATGACCGCATTTTGACCTGTGGCTTCGCCTGATTTTCCCCACGGTTTTGTGATCCTGTTTTTTGAGGATCACAAAACCGCAGGGAAAATTGGGCGAAGCCATGGGTCAAAATGCGGCCACATGGCTTTGAGTGGGAAATTGATCAATGGAAACAGGGCAAAGGGAGGCGCGATTGTGATACAGCTCCTTGTGTGAAATCAGTCTTTGTTTTAGCTTTTTTGTTACACTGTGATGAGATAAATTAAATTTTGTAAAATTTTCCTATTAAAGTTAAAAAAGGTATATATAAATTTCCTTAGGACTAAGATTTAGGATTAACAGAGTCATACAGTAATTAGATTATACATCAGGGCTGCTCATGGGGGCCATGGCATTCATTGACACCTTTCCTGGCACCTGCCAAGTATTTGTAGAAGGTGGGCAGGGCCAGATGGGGCATCTGCTCAGCAGAGCTTTTGACTGGTCACTGAAGAATTGATTGACTACAGATTATTTTAAAGGCTTGTTTTGGCAACAGTTGCCACCACAGCATAAAGATCTTCATTTGCTCATGTTGTGTACTTGGCTCTCTAATACTTCTTAATCATTCACAAAGTTACTTGGATAAATGATTATGGGCTATGGGCTATACTACTGTATATAGTTTGTACTGCCTGTTACTGTGAGTAGGATCCTACTGTATAATTGCATTGTTTTGTGTGTCATGATAATGCTTAAACTTTGCATCAGTTCTGTTTCCAAATTCTAGTTGGTTCCAGATTTCTACAATCTAAATCCTACTGCATTGTTTATTGAATGCCCCATGTTGTTGATTGTATTGACTCACTATGTGTAATCTGCCTTGAGTCTCAGGGGGAAAGGTGGACTGAAAATAACACTGAAAAAACAAAATAACACCCTATTGTTTTCTCTTTTGTTCACATTTTAGCTGTCTGTGCCATGCAGGCTGGAAAGGGGCACTTTGCACAGAGACTATTTCCATGTGTGATCCTGAGCATAACCCATCGCATAGATGCAGGCAAGGTGCCACCTGCATACCGCTGCCTGATAGCTACAGCTGTCACTGCCCTCTAGGAACTACTGGTGTCTACTGTGAACAAGGTATGGCAAAGACCCCTCCCCCAGTACTGCATGATAAGTGAGTTTTACTTTTGCCCTTTTTTCCCCTTCACTTGCATGTTTCTGTTTAGGGATTAGTAGCAAGTATTTTTTGAAAAGAAAAAAATATGCATATTGAGTCTTTGGCTTACTGTCTGAGCAGTTAGGATGAAGAGATGAAGCAACAGAGTCCACAACCAGTGCTGGGTAATTCATCGATCTAAGTCAAGAGTGGCTGGAATGGGGATGCACAGACTTACTGTCTGTGCCTCATAAATGATCATCTCAGCACTTCATTGTGACAGCCTCAGATGTTACTTTGAACTTTCCTTAGGAGGAAGTAAATATCAGGTTCACCTTCACCCAAGCTCTGTTCTCTCTTCCAGCATTTTTACTCCAGCTAGAAAGTACATTTGACCAAGGGCTATTTTTGGGGCAGAACGCCCTGGAATGGTGTTCTGGCTGGCTTCCGAGCCCGCCCCACCCCTCCCTCACCACCACCACCCGGCTCCTGCCTCCTCCTCTGCTGCTGCTTCTCCCGGGGCCAGTAGAGCGCTCCCGCCATGCCTGCCCAGGTGCCAGCAGGCTCCAGCCCAGGCAGCAGATGCACAGCAGTGACAGCAGGAGCAGCAGGGTGCGGGGAGAGCTGGCCATCCCACCTGCTGCCGACAACGCACACTTGCTACCGCCCCAGACACATGGGGAGGGCTGCTGTCAGGCCAGCGTTGGCTGCAGGAGCATTTCTCATCCTCCTCCATTATTCGAGGTTTCCCGCCCAAGGGGGAGTGTTAATCTCCCTCTCCTTTCGCCTCCAGGGGGATTAGCGCCACTCGGAACTCCTTTGTGCAGAGCAGGTGGAGGTGCCTCATTGTGCTCCGACGCTTGACCTGGGTCAGCCCCTGCTTCGGGAGCAGTGGGCAGCTCGAGTTTGCTTAGTCTCCGGGGACTGCCTGCTTGATCCCCGTCTGTAGCTCTGCTAGAGTTGGGTCCTCCTGTCAGGCCGGTGCTGGGTGCCGCTCGCCCGGGCTCTGCAGAATGCATGCTGCCACCCACCCCCCTTCACAGCCCCACTGGTTGCACCCCCCCAGTGTACTTTAGAACCTTGGGCTTGCCCTGGCCCCCCCCCCCCACCCACCCCGTATGCCGGAGCCAGGCGATGGAGAGACTGACCGACCGATTGAAGGCATCTGCCTGGCGACCCCGAGGCGGGCTTGCGGTCCAGCCATGCTGTGCAGGGCAGCTCTTTGACACACGGGGTGGTGGCGGTGGGGAACACCGGAGGAGGAGGAGGGTGCCCCCCCGAGCTCAGCGTGTCCCTGCAGGCCCACTGCTCCAGGGTTCTCAGCTTGGTGGGCTCCTCCCTGCTGCTGCTGGCCAGGTTGGGGGGGGGCGCCACCCTCCTGCAGACCCTTCCTCTCCTCACAACAGACACCCTGTGGGACTGAGACGAGGCCTTTGAGAGAACTGCTCTGACAGAGCTGTGACGGGCCCAAGGCCACCCAGCTGGATGCATAGCAAGCAAGTATATCAAAATGATAACCAGAAGGCTTTTCCATAACAGCATCTCAAAACCATGATTGTAGAAAGTTTTACAATGAGTAATGATCGGGGGGGGGGGGAAATCACTTTTAAAATATTATACTTCTTGTTTTTCTTCTTTGAGACTTTGTTTGAAAATCAGATTTGGATCTGGTGGCTGACCTGTGCTGTCTTTAGCTCCATGACCATGCTGTGTTGCAAAGTATCAAAAGAAGTGACTTGCTACATGCCTCCAACTTTATTCAGTCTTGCAGAAAATTTAGCCTATATAATTTGAGATCCATAATTAATTGATAAAATTAATTGAAAGCCAAGACATCTTGACTGATGTAACATTAAACAAAGTACTCAATATTTATTAAACATATTTGTGGTTCGTTTAGGATGGATTTACACAATATGATCTGATTGCATCAAATTCTTAGAAATGTTGCTCATGCTAGGATCAACTAATACATGCTTAATCAAATTGACAGTCCTACAGAATCAAAAAGAAATTATACAGAAGCTGTGAACAGGAAACATTACATTCTTTCCTTATCAGACCTTCACATCAAGGTGTGAAGTTTGCAGTTATCATGGCAAAGTAAAATGCATATCTGAATTTAAACAAGGCAACAGTGCAATGTTTCCTTTTAATCTGTAGACCAGGAGGTCCCCAATGCAGTGCCCATGGCTCCAGATGACACCTTTTCTGGCACCCACCAAATGTCTTTGGGCAGAGCCAGGTGGGGCTTTTGCCCAGCAAATCTTCTGTACAAATATTTAAAAACATTGCTTTGGCAGCAGCTACCACCACAGCATAAGGGTCTTCAAGGTGTGACTGAAGGCAAGCTACAGCAGCCATTTGTGGTTGGCTCTGACTTCTGTGGCAGCCATTTTGTGGCTGCACTTACCATGGTGTGTCAGAATTCCATAGATGCCAACAAGCTCAGAAATTAGGGACCCTTGCTGTAGACAATATGCTCCGGAAAATAGAGCTAAGTTACATGGAACTGGAAGAAGCTTGCATAGGATTTTCAGATCTTTCATCCAGGAACTGACCAAACTCATTTTTGGAGGCAGGGCTGTGGCTCAGTGGTGTTGGAGCAGAGTTTTACAGATACCATGGTGTGATGGGTTGCCCATGGAAAGCTGGTTTTCAATGCTGCTTGTTTCAGAGAACCTGTCAGTGTTCTCTCCCATCATCTGTCAGTGTTCTCTCCCATGAAAATGAACACAGTTGTCATAATCTTGGCTAATTGAACAAGCCATATACATAACCTACAGTGGTAGCAGAAATATCTTAGGTGTTTGCATTTAGGAACAAAGAATACACTTCAGCCCAAATAAATCACTTAACTGAACTCAGTGGATGTCTCTGTGTGTAACTTTCCCATTGAAATCAGTGGTGGAACAGGCCTGCTCTGGCTTGCGGGCCCTGTTCCACCCTGCCCTCCAAGGTTTTCCCAACACCTGGAGAGGCTTTTCTCTCTCTCTAGTAACCCACCACCACCACCTGACCTTTGTAGGAATGGCCTGCTGAGAGGGTCAGGACTCCCAGTTTCTCTCTGTGTCTCCTGCCGCCCAGCACCTGGTCACCATGGGGGGACCATTTGCTGCCTTGTGCACCCCTGGAGGAATGGCCACTTGCCGTCTGCCTTCACCCTGGTGCTCCTTTGAAAATAGTGTGCCCAAGATGGTGGAGGTCTATGTGGTCCAGAGAACCACTACCAGCATCCAAAATTATAAAGTATTTATTGGCGAGAGAATGCTCACAAGCATATTTTTAGCATAGCACTAGACTGAGCAAGGGATTCAAAAGAAATGGGTAAAATGCAACTCCTCTGTCCCTCTCTCTATACATGTCGTATCAGATGTTAAAGTATAGGATAGACTCCTTAGTTTAGGAAGTTACAGATCTCAACAGAAATTCCATTACGTTGATGCTTCCTCCAGCTCTTCAGGGCCAACTATGGTTCATATCCATCTCCTCCAGACCTCAGTTAAAAGTTGTGTCTGTTCTGATGGACTGAGCTCAAAAGAGCCCTTCCTCCTTGCTTCTAGGAGTTTTCTTTCTTTTCCCCACCCGCTGACCTGGTCAGGACAGGTCAAGGAAGCTTTTCCTGACATCTCCAGAAATTTCTTCCTGAAGTCTTTCTAGTCTTAATT